CAATTTAATTGGAGCCTTCTTGCCACTAACAAGCATGCCTGTGTTCTGCTGATAGCTTTGTTACTTGAGAACTTAGTGTCTGACAAGAACTGCGTTCTTCTTGTAGTTCAGTGAAAGTCAGTCCACTTGCAGAATCTCAGAACATTTTCAGTTTTATGAGCCTTTTTTATGAGTATATCTTTTCTGAGACTGAAGTTATGATTGATGATTTTGCAGGCCAAACTGAAATAACGATTAATCTTCCACGATGGTTTTACTTGACCTTTAATATTTTAATCCTATCATATAATCACAATTGTCTGATAGTATTATTTTGAGTTATATGCACATTTATCCAACTCAGTATGTCATGGTCATGGGTTTGAATCCCAGAGTCAAGTACCTAATTGCCATCTAACCTACTCAGCCATCACGGCTTCCACTGGGTTAGATGACTGACTTTGTGTGTTGGCGATTAGGTGCCTAATTCAAAATGTGGGTTCGAATCCCAAATAGCACTCAACCTAACATAACAGAAGAACTAGAACCTTAACTTTACTGAGAAAGTTTAATCCCAAATATAACATACATTGAATGTTACACTGTGATACGATTCTGAAACTGTGTTATACACAACTCAGTCTCATAATTCAGTTGCATGAAGATGTAGGCTATGTTAATCTCAATTCACTCACTCAGTCACTTTGAAGGATTCCACTACTTCGTCTTTTTGCAGAGAGACCAACAGAAACAGAAAACAGTCTTTCTTTGGTCTCTGCAAATGATGTGTAAAATGATTTTGACAATGAAATCAATTACAAAATATTCCCCAAATAATGATTAATGAGATGTAAACAATCATGAATATTTCACATGCCTGTTGGTGAGACATTCAGTGATGTACATTCCTACAGCCAGTATGTGTTGGCCCCAGGGTAGTGTGACTAAAGGCATGGACACTGCTAAACCCTGACCCCAGCAACCTGTCAGTTGAACCCTTTAGGCAGGTGGAGGAGTCACTGTTACAGAAGCGGCCTCCGCTTGAACAGGTAGTTGGTAGCTCAGGACACATCCATGAGGGTTGTACTTGGACCATAAGTCTGGTTAATGTTTCATAACAGATTTATGCAACAGACAAGGTATGTGATACTGGTGATAATGATTGTGGGGTCTCCATTGTATGAGATGACATTATAGCGTCTTCTCAAGATGTGATACAACAGTGACCATCATCAGACAAAGAGATGATTTACGTTTTACACCCTTCTCCTGGTCAAGACAGTACAGTGTCGTTTCAAGAAGTATATTACAGCATTAGACCATCATCTGACAGATAATTTATGTTTTAAACCCTTTTCCTGCATTGCAAAGTCTACTCAAGACATACAATACGGCATTGGCCAGCATCTGGCAAAGTCTACTCAAGACATACAATACGGCATTGGCCAGCATCTGGCAAAGTCTACTCAAGACATACAATACAGCATTGGCCAGCATCTGGCAAAGTCTACTCAAGACATACAATACGGCATTGGCCAGCATCTGGCAAAGTCTACTCAAGACATACAATACAGCATTGGCCAGCATCTGGCAAAGTCTACTCAAGACATACAATACAGCATTGGCCAGCATCTGGCAAAGTCTACTCAAGACATACAATACGGCATTGGCCAGCATCTGGCAAAGTCTACTCAAGACATACACATACAGGCATTGGCCAGCATCTGGCAAAGTCTACTCAAGACATACAATACTGGCATTGGCCAGCATCTGGCAAAGTCTACTCAAGACATACAATACGGCATTGGCCAGCATCTGGCAAAGTCTACTCAAGACATACAATACGGCATTGGCCAGCATCTGGCAAAGTCTACTCAAGACATACAATACGGCATTGGCCAGCATCTGGCAAAGTCTACTCAAGACATACAATACGGCATTGGCCAGCATCTGGCAAAGGGATGATTAGTTTTATACTTCTCATGCCTAAGGATGACATTTGAACATTTTCATTTTGAGTTTAGGCGCTATAATTTTTTTAATGAAAACTGAAGGATTTGTTTCAAATATTTTCTCACAATTTTCCTGAAATAAAATATTGTTTGTAATTATGTTTGATCGATAAAGTGTTATCTGAGCATGTTCACAGGTACATGTGTTCGATCAGTAGAATGATAACAGTTAGATATGTATAAACATGTATTCATATTTTCTGTATGTGTTCTTACAGATTAATAGGAAGGATGTTTGTACAACTTTTACAGTTATTACCAGGTGTTGCTTCATAACACTTGATCAACGTCATGCATCATGTTGTTTTTGTTTGCTGTCAGTGTTGAACTTGACATGAAGCTGACTGATAACATTCCCCTTGGCAGGACATCTTTTACCTGTACCAGGTGTGCAGTTACCTCTTAGGCAATTTGGATGTGACGTAAGCAATTGATGAACTTGTTTTTTCTGTGTCATAAGCATTGAATGTGTGGGTTTGAGGATAATGAAGCTACGTTCTGGCTGTAATATATCTGAAGAAAGAAGCATCAGGTGTTGGTATGTTTAATCATTGTATTTTCGTTGTCATGGATACATGGCTCATATTTCTCAATCAAGCTTCTCAGTGTGGTTTTCGAATAAAATAAATATCACATTTACCTCTAGAGGTAACAAAAATAAAGAAATGAAGATTTGTTTTGTGGTGTTTTGTCAGCTGCAGCATGCCGTGATTGAAGTTCCTGATTGGCTGTATGGTTTAGGATACAGACAATGTTTTTCATTATTATCTCGAAATCATGTCCCCATGGGAACATATCAAGGTTGCAGTATGTCAGACATTACTCCAGATATCAGAGCTAATTTCTGTCTAATTAGAGCAGAAATATTCATGAAACTTTATGACATTGAGGTTACAGCATTGTTCATGTCAGACAAATGTACGATATCAAAGCTAATATCAGTCTCATTAGGGTAGAAATATTCTTAGAACTGGATGACATTTTGAGGTTACATCATGAAAGCTGTCCAGGCAGATCTTGGGCTAATTGGCTGAGGAAATATTCCAAAGATGACCTTTCATTCTGTCATCATAATTCCACACCTCCTTTGTTCCCCTGTTTCTCCCACACACCAACCAATACAACAAGTCTGGAGCACCTTCTGTAGCACTGTCCTTGACATGTCCTCCTCCAGGTGGTTGGACAGTAGACCCATCTCTGTCCATAACATCCACACCTCTATCAAATCTGGAAGACACGCCTGAAATGGCCCCTGCAATTAGTCCTCTGACCATGATAGGCCAGTGGTGCTGTATGTGACTAGTAAACTGATTTAACCTGTTGATGTGATAACTCGGGCAACACAATTACCACAGTGGGAGGAGGCACATCATTTAGGCTTGTATGCCAAACTTTCACGTTAAACCATCCGCATGCTCCCTGCCTAGCTGGAGAGGAAACATCCGTAGTCTACGTAGGCTGTACTATACATCATCATTACACTTTCAGTGTTTTCGTTTCATGATGAGTACAGTGTAGGATAACAGATTAATGTCAGAAGGCTCATGAGGGAATTTCTGATGGATTTTGAGGTACATTGTTTGCATTGTTTAATATGATGTGTTTGTGAATTGAGTAGTGTGGCTGTCATTGTTGGTTAATGGTTCACAGGAATGTCATGTTATATCACACTTGTCCTGCAAACATTATATCAGTATCATGCAGCCAATACGCAACATGCTTTATGATTTAAAGTGATATGTAGATTGAGATTTCCTTTACAATTATTGGTTTCTGAAAATCTCTTTGAAGCATGTTTCTGCATGAAATAATTTGAAAAGGAAGCTTGTCCAGCACCATTACAATGACTAATTAGGATTCATGTGTTGTATTTGTGGTTGTATCGTTCACAATTTTCCTTGTAATTGCTCCTTTAATCATTTCCGAGTTGTCCAGATCACTTTGTCTGTGGAACTAATAAGACATCCTGCAGATAGAGTCTCAGTTGGCATTTAGCCCCTTCATGCTCAATCCTCCCATCTTTAGCTTCAAGCAATCTGTTGTTAGCACCGATTTGACAGAAATTGCTGGATATTGATTAAGTTAAGAGAGGTTTTATTTCAAATATTGACAATACCGCAGTCCCTATGACTATGAGATACGGAATCAGATGCCTGCAGGAGTGGTTTACTGCTGATGGTGAATCGCTTCCTCTCTGAAGGTAGAGAAATAGGGAGTCCCTACAGAGAAAGATGGGCTTTTTTATACTGGGGATGATGTCAATGGGGTGTCGGAAGTCTTAGGTTCAGGAGGACTTCAAAACAGACTGAATCCTAGGACTTTACATTGTGTGAAATTGATGTTTATTATTCGTGTAATGGAGTAACTAGTGTTGTCACTGATTTTTATTGACACATTCATATGGTTTTCACTGCTTCATTGCCTTTAATACCAAATGGGGGCAGTGGGCCAGCCTAATGTTAAAGCACCGCTCGTCACGCCGAAGACCTGTGTTTGATTCACCACATGGGTACAATGTGTGAAGCCTATTTCTGGTGTCCCCTGCCGTGATATTGCTGGAATATTGCGGGAAAGCAGCTGAAAACCATATTTACTCACTCACTAAATACCCAGTGGTAACTGCTTCATTGGATAATAAAGACTCATGTTGATTTTATATATTGATATGGATTGTAATATTCTGATGTGTTGTATCAGTAACAATGGACTTAATCAGTGATCTTTAGTTGCAGTTAGTCTCTAACCTGACAGGCAATTTTACAGTATACTGTACATGTCAACATATGTTCAGATAGATCCAGTGTGTGAAGAGCATTCTTGGATTACGTACATTACTGGTCCTAGCAGCCAAAGTTCACTTAGTCCCAAGAACAACATGGTCTGAAGGATCAAGATGTTTCAACGTATGGTTACTAGTTCAGAATCTGGTTGGCGTCTGTGTTTTGCCATTTTTCTTGTTTTATCTGGTGACATGATTATTGATACTTATCATACTTATTTGTGTTTCAGTCTCTGACATAGAAAAGGTCCATGATGCATACATCATTGCGGTTGAAGATGGCACCAAGCAACACCTTGAGAGCATACCAGCTTTACAGCGGGTCACCCCGCGGGACATGACCAAACTCCTCAACAGCACCGACAACAGCGAGGCAGGCTCTGTGCAGTCTGATATTTCTGTGGAAGATAATACTGTATACGTTTCGTCAATGCCGACCGAAAAGACACCAAAGAAGAAAAAAGTCCAATGGGCATGCCAAGAATGGCGATGTGAATGGTAGTTCTGAACTGATCGAGATGAACGGGGTTCTGGAGAAGGAGAGCCCAAAGAAGGGCAAGAAGTCTAAGAAGGAAACCCGCAAACAAAAGGTGGCAAGCACCTCTGAAACCCCTCTCATTGAGGAGATGAATGGGTCAGACAGACTGTCCCGTAATGGCAACACTCTCAGTCAGAACTCACTCAACCGATCAAAGGACAATATATATGCATATGATAGTGAGGATTTTGATCCTAGTATGCAGAACTCATTTGAATTTGAGGATTCAGGACCTCATAGAGAAATGGCGATCGATTGCCCCGACAATTTTGTGGGAACAGTGAAAACTGCTCCACGTTACCCACCCCCCCAATCTCAACAGCTTGCCCCGAGTTCCACCAACTACCCCAATGAAACATGCTCTTGATAACTCAAGTGAGAACATTCACACAGAAGAAGTTCTAAATGATGCTGCTGTTGCTATGGGCAACCAGCAGCAGCAGCCAACAATGGAACAGTTAGAGAGGTTACGGAAACATCAGGAAGAGCTTCGGAAACGTCGGGAGGAAGAGACACGGCACTTCCAGGAGGAAGAGTTTCTCCCGAACATCGTTACGTGGATCCAAGAAGCTGCAAGCTCTTGAGGACAAGAAGACAGTGCCCCCTAGCGGTGTGGTCAACACAGCGTTCATTGATGTGGAGGACGAGGATGTTCAAGATGGAACTCTCGACTCGGGTGTTCCGCTCACATCACGGGAGAGGTTCCATGCAAAGCGAGTGGGTAAGTAATGGAGGCTTTTATAGATCTTTGCTATAACTTGTTCACTTTCTTCTGTTGCAATTACTTTAATGAGCAGGGAGGAAAAAAGTTTTGTTTTTTTTCAAACCTGTTAGACAGTATTTAATTAGTTCCACCTGTTCCTGTCCAGTGAATGAACAAATGACTGTTTCAAGGCTGCAAACTGTTATCGACTACAGGTTTGTATTGTCCCAAGCAACCAATTTTACCTGTAAGAGATGACCAATGGGACTGGGTTATCAACATAATCACGTGGTTGACTGAAGGTCATCGTAACCTCACATCATGGATCATTGCTCACATTATCAATCACTGGATTGTCTGATCCAGACCTTTTATATTTTCCACCATCATGTATCTGTAGTTGAAAGCAATCAAAGAATACTGATTTATGTTTTTGTTTGTTTGTTGTTTAACGCCACACTCAGCATTATTCAGTCCAAATGGCCACGATCTGTAAATAATCGAGACCAGGTTTATCTTATCCAGTTACATCATCTTTACTTTACATAAAACCTCACTTACTCACTTACATCCTTGCTGTGTTGCAGACGTGGAGGATATGTTCCAGTCATTGCAGTATGCCCGAAGTCACCTCAATTCCAATGAGGACCAGGGAGATATTACCTTTCTTAAGAACTTGTTCCTCAACACCAAGTTTCAACATGCAGTTAACATACACAACAAGATTGTGGAAGTGACTTCTCAATCCCCACAGCCACGGCCTGTGGCAAGCAATGGCCAAAATAGTGCTAACAATGTGATCAATTCTGTGCAGCAATCAAAAGATCAGTTATCGGAGGAGCTTGTCAGTATACTTAACAAGCCACATATGAAGGTAAGTTCATTCTAGTCCACACAGTTGATGGTTTATCAAAACCAATAAGACCAATTTGTTTAGCAAATCAGATTAGATATATTATTCCTGCAGATACCACGTCTCTTTTACATCATTGCCATAATAATAAGGCTGTCTTCACACTATAAAAATATTTTGCTTTTCCAAACAAGTCCATTTCACTGTGTAGCTGCCTCTAATTAGTTGTGTGAATAGTAGGTTTTCCTTCACCATGTTATGCACATGCGCCAGGCAGGAAAATTCACTTCCATTATGTATTTATGATCAAAGAATAGGGAAATATCAGTTTTAAAAATCTTCAACAGGTTGATCGTATTGTTCAAACAGTTTTTTATCTGATTAATAATTTTTATGATGTCCACAGCTTTAAATTGCAAGGCACACATCAAAACAGAACAATTACCCGACAGTTATTCCCATATGACATTTATTACATTGTTTCCTGTTTTGCATGGATGTATTTTTTTATCAGTCATTGACAGAATGTTGCAAACAATTGATTCAGTGTCTTTTTCTCGGCATGACAGATCACAAAAGCAGCTGGAATGTAAAGGGGGAGAACACATTACCTGTTGTCCTTTCTTTCCTTTATGACTTCTCAGTGAATGACGTTGTAGTTCCCTTGAGAAAGAATAGAACATACAAGCAGACTGATTTCATTTCCAGGACTGATAGAAAGGCAGTCATGTTGAAATGGGGGCGATGGGGTAGCCTAGTGGTTAAAGCATTCACTCGTCACGCCAAAGACCCGGGTTCGATTCCCCACATGGATACAATGTGTGAAGCCCATTTCTGGTGTCCCCTGCCGTGATATTGCTGGAATATTGCTAAAAGCGGCGTAAAACAAAACTCACTCACTCACTGTATTAATCTTCACTTCTCATTGGCTCCGAGGGAGCTGAACCAAGGCATATATGTTCCTTATTAAGATGGTCATTTTGTTCACATCATTAGAGTTAATGCTAATCTCCCAGCAGTATTTTGTTGTCATTTAATTTATTGGAATATCAGGGGCGGTGGGGTAGCCTGGTGGTTAAAGCGTCTGCTTGTCACGCCGAAGACCCGGGTTCAAATCCCCACATGGGCACAATGTGTAGAGCCCATTTCTGGTGTCCCCCCACCGTAATTTTGCTTGAATATTGCTAAAAACGGCATAAAACTATACTCACTCACTCACTCACTATTGGAATATATACAGCAATTTGTCTGAAGGATCTTCAGTTGTCAACACTTTTGACTTCACATCCAAGCGAGCTACAGTGCAGTAGCACTACCTTTAGAAAACCTCTGTTCAGACTCTTCATGACAATTGCCAGAGTGTAGTCAGGTTGAAAAAGGATACTTAACGTTTGATGAAGTGAAGATAGCTCTCTGCTAATGGAGTTAAAAAGCAAATGACATCTACCAACTATGTTCAGGCCATACAATGAAATAATGTAACATTTGATGATATACATGGCAATCTGAGGGACTCTAAATTAAACATTCACAATAGGATGAGATTCTATTTGATTTTCTAAACAACATGCATGTCCAACATAGTAAGTTCTGGTCAGCATCAACAGGTCTGAAATGCTGTGACAAGACCGATCTAGTAACAATTGTTTAACGCATGAGTCACACTGTTTGAGTGACAAGGTTGGCGTGACACGTTACCATGCCACAGGTTTATGTCCACCGAACCTGCCGGGAAATAAATCATATATCTTAGTGCAAGACCTCTCTTGCATTTGATTCAGGAAAAAAATATGTATTGCGAAATCAGCATGGAATCCATTTCAGTTTTGTGTTAGTTTTTATCAAATCATGGGATGCATTCTCTGAGACTTTCTGCCTTGGAGATATGAACATTTGGGTGAAGATTGATTTTAGACAAAAACTATGAATAGTTTAGATTAAACTTCAGCGGAGCTGATAAACCTAAGACAATGCAGCACTCTGTGTGACAGTCTGTTGTGATCTTGTTGAGAAGATTCACCGACTACCATCTTGTAGTCTTGATGACTTCAAACTTATAAATATTTATGATTATTTGTTTAAGATGTCTGTTTTTCTAGAAAGTTTTATGCATTAGATTCAAGAGCTTTGAGAATATTTTGAAAGATTCCATTATTTCAAATTATTTTATATATCTTGATATCTGGCATTGCCACAAATTAAAAATGTAACGATTTTTTTCATGGCACAAAAATTCATTTTTTGTTGGGCTGAAATACTCTAGTCAGGAAAAGATTAAGTTGGAGCCTAAATTAGAGTTACAGTGACATTTTAAAAACCTACACTGCAGAATCAATGTAAATGCATATGCTTCAACAGCATGTCTTCTACAACTGCAAATCTCACATATGCCACAAGCAAAATGACATTAATTGTTAATGTTTTAACCAAAAAAATTCTAACTAGCAGTTCCTTTGCAGAGCAATAGTGGCTCTACAACTTTTATTCATTCTATTCTATAACATAAACTTAGAGCAGTTGTCACTGTCATAGTGTAGGCTAACGCTAAGTCTCTGAATATGTAAGTAATTTTGATAGTGTTTCCATTCAGCAAATAATTCCAAATCAGTTGAAAAGGAGACCCCGTGACATAACACAACACAATCCATCACAAAACAAACAAACAAGAGATACTTGAGACTGATGAAATCTAGACTTTCTTCATCTAGAGAATTTTCATTACAGAAAGGGTTGTGCAGAAGAGAAAATGATGTAGTTGAGTGACTGTAAGACAGACTAGGTCATAATGCTACAATGTTGTTTGTGAAACAGAGCCAAGCCTGTTTATAGACTTATATTATAGTCTGTCATACAGACCCCTAAGCAAATATATCCAAGAAAGCTCATGCAAGTCTAGAAAATGGGGCAAGTCTAGATTTCAGGGCTCATTTTCATTATATATATATTTATGTTTTTTGCTATGAACTTTTCTTTCTGTAAAATATGTTCATTTCAGAGATTATTTATTAGACGAATAGACTTTCTTCTGTTGTTGTATGTGGTACAGGACATGGTGATATGTATTATATGTCAATTGATACGGAAATATAACCAGGGTTTTATTTGGTTATGCAATATATGATATATTAATATTTTAATTGAGTTTTCTAGCATTGTATTTGATAATGAATTGGGATGAATATAAGTTATACTTAACTGACATCTTCCTTATGTTGTATTTCATCTGAAAATATGTGGGATAATAATTGATTTTAATAAACATTTTTATTGTATTTGACATTGAATTAGGGGGATATTAATGATGATATTTATTATCACATCTATGGCTAGGTATGTGTGCTATATTGGCTGAAACTGCCCGAGGTGGATGGCTATCTACATCAATCACAGAGTCGTGCCATTATTTCACGTAAATATCCACTGGCATAGTGAATTAGAAGCTGTGAATAGTCCCCAAATATCTTTGCATTTTAGATAACCAAGTTTGAATTTAGTTCAGACTGTGACTGAAGATTCGTTTGGGCGATAAACAAAACAGAACTGAGGCATTCTATTAATGAGGTCATTTCAAATTGAAACATGGTGATACGATCTACAGGGGTATATGCTAACATCTAGTCTTTGAAATGAATATGTTTTACAGAAAAAAATGGTTCTTAGATTATATTCATAAAAAAATACAGAAAAGGAGATGAAAGATCTTCTTTTTTAGTACTGAAAACCTGGAACTGTGGCAATCTAGACCTACCACATATTCTAGCCATGCATGGGCTCTATTGGGTATGTTTGTTTGAGGATTCTTTGGCAAACTTACGGGGATGTTGTGTATTTGGCCGATAGTTTACATAAGGTAATATGGTTATATCGTCTCCATATTTTTCTTGGAAGAAAGCGCAACATGTAATTTATGGACAGGCACTTGCTTGCTGTAACAGCCTTTATTGCACTTCCTCTTATGAGTGAGAGTAGGTTGGAGATAGAGTCAGTCAGGGGAAAGGTTATATGTGAAATATAATCCTAGCCATTACTGTCAGCCATTGTTCTGTGGGCTTTGTCAGAGAGCTGATATGCTGGCAGATTTGGCCCTGTGGAATGTAGGTGCCACCTCTGGAATACTTGTGTGTGACAACTTGTAATCTGCAGACCACTGTTATTGAATTCTACATGTTTGAATCACTGTGTGATTGGGTAGTAGTCACAGTCACATTATACCTGTATATATGACTCTTTGACACAACTGTCCTACAAAATCATGGCCTGTTAAAAAACATTTTAATCATTGATGAATGTATTTTGTATGTTTTGTTTTAACTTGCTCCCTGGAAAATAGTCCGTCTCACATTCCCTACATTGGGAAAGCCCAAAATGAAGCAAGTCTAGATTTGCCTCATGTTCCCACCCACTGGGGCTCCTTTTCTATTTAAATGGATCTGTTTGCTGTATCAAAGTTATATACATTCAGAGACTAAGTGTTAGTTAACATACAAAACATAAGTCTTAGGTACTATTTGTCAACTGTAGAATTATACATTGCTGTTAACAGAAATCTAATTCTTTCTTAATTATTTTGAATAGTATGCCAATCTGTTGAGAAAAACAATTCCATGGAAATTGGTAAAGAGAGGTAGTATTTAGCCTCACACCAGCTACTTTAACGCGAGTGTACCTTGTTTATCAGTTAGATAGTATGAAAGCTGTTACAGTGATGCATCTGTCTAATGAAGACTCGCCACTCATATAACTGGAAGTTGTTACATTCAAAATAACATTAAGCAAATTAATATAACTTTCCGAATCACTTGGCTCTATTGTACTGTACATTATCAAAATTATTTGTAATTAGAGAAGATTGGGGATACAAATTGGTTCAAGTTATCACTTCATTACATATTTACACTGGCAAAATATATACAACCGCGGAAACACAAGAAGTAAGGCAACAGATAAGTAAAGATTTGTCAATAAACTGCAAACAGCTTGCTGTAACTTTATGCAGTCTGACAGATAAAGACACAGATGTT